GTAAAATTCCATAATTTATGCTAATAACTTGGCTAGTTTTTATGATTAAGCCATTATCAAATGTTAATTATTAAATCATTTCATTAACATTTTATAGCTATTGTTTTACATATTTTCAACATTTTAATCTTTATGATATTATGGTTAATTTTTTTTTCCAAAATACTTCATATTAATTTCAAAAAAAAAAAAGAATTTAAAATATTGAAAAGGATAAATGTGAAAATTTCCAGTAAAATATTACTGTTAATTCAGGCATATTTTGTCCTTCTAGATTGTCTTCAATTTGTGATAGAGATCTGGCTAAACCAAAGTCAGCTAATTTTACGCGACAATCAGCATCCAGTAATACATTCGATGGTTTCAAATCACTGAAATTAAATCCATTAATTAATTAGTATTTGAAATCGCTGGAGTTAAATTCCGTAATTGATTAGTAGATGATTAAAACAAATAATTATTAATTTGAATAATTTTATTCGTTAATATTTTATTCAATTTCATTCATTATTAATTTGGACAATTTTATTCAACATGCCATATTGCTATTGAAAATAGATTGTACTGATGAATTTTATCAGTAATTTTGCTACCAGTAATTTTATTTTATCATAATTTTATCAGATAATTTTATCATGAATTATTATCAATATCTTATAAATGATAAAGAAATTTTTATTGCTAATGTTTTACTTACTCCTCATTTAATAAGGAATATCTACTAAATTTGAGCTCTTTTTTTTTCCTTTCTTGAACTTTATCATATTTTTAATTTTATTTCATAGATATTATATCGATGTATTAATTTCGATAAAATAAACTATTGAAAAGTTTCAGAAATTAAAATCAAAATCAAAAAAGCATCCAAGAAAACTTAACATTTTTTTTTTTTTTTTAACATCCTTACAATCAATTCATTACAATTTAATAATTATTCTAATGACAGTTAATGTATCCGGGATTTTGTTTTTTTTTTATTATCAGAAAAATGATATGTTAATATCAAATATATTCATGATTATCCTAAAAATTCGAAATCATTTGAGATTATCATTCAAAATTAAACACTTTATCATCACCTTATCTAATCATTTAATTCCAAGCAATTATCTTAGTTAAGCAATTATCACTTTTCTGATAACATCAAATTTTCTTATTATATCATTCACCTTCTATTACACATTTTAACATTTTCCCTTCATTTTTTACTCGCTCAAATTTCACTCATAAAATTGAATAAATTATGCAAAATTTTGAAAATACAAAAGTCAATTTGAGCTAAAATTATAACTTTGCAAATAAGCTAACAAACAATAATGTAAATAAGTAATTCAAACTTTCTTACTGTTCGAGCAATTTCATCTGACACTTTTTTTTTTTGTCATATTATACTATTCCAAATTACAATTTTCCATTATTAAAATAAAAATGGTTCATTTATTTACTGTTTATTTGCAATTAATTATGCAAAAATTATTGTTTAAAATTTTTATTAATTTGAAATATATAATTAATATTATTTTTTTAAAATATAAATGATATTTAATGGCTACTATTTCAATGCTCGAAGCATTTTTATTCTTTAAACAATAAACAATTATTAGCATTATTAA